ATTGGGGTTCAGACTCAACATCGGGATTCAGACCTTTGGCGAGGGATTATTTGGGACTGTATCGAAGACTTGGTGTTGACGACATTTCCATCTTCCCCTCCCCTTCGTCTCATCCCCCTCTTCTTCGTCTGTGCATGATCGGGGACTGACGCATTCTTCCTGTGTGAGCGTCAGCCCCCTTCACACYATGGAATGATGATGATGCATGTTTGGTCTGCATGGCAGCTTGATTGATCGGATCATTGGTATTTAAGCCTTTCGTTGTGCTACCTTGTATCTGGCGAGAAAGGTCGGTTCTTGGTCTGGTCTGCATCTTCACGGTATGCAACACAAGCCTCTGACGTTCTGCTTCTGCTGCCTCTTGCTGTGCCTTTGCTGCGGCGACGGCATCCGTGAATGCCTGCACCCGTCGAAGGTAAGCTGCGAAAGTCTCGTGGTCCCCTTGGACCGGACAGGCGGGGAGGACCCCTGTGGTGACCGGTACTGCAGCTGCTGCATTGGTACTGGATGCCGCTGGAGCCGTTCGCCTGCTGCGTTGTTGTTGTTGATACTTAGGCCGTGGAGGTAGCACAGTGTGGCTACGAACTGCGATCCTGGCACTGCGCCGTGGCAGTGCCCTGGTGTCCTGTTCCGTCGACATCAGCACGGGCTGATGTGGTACTTTGGAGATCTCGGTGGCCACAGACACGGGGAGGGCAGGGAGGGTGGGAACAGGGGTAGAACAGAACAATCAATCAACATACAGTCCCCTGTCCTAATGTGGACTGGACTCCTAATCAAAAGAGAAAAAGAATGATCTTTTCCCCCCCGAACAATTTAATTACGAAAATAATAAATAAATAACTAGGCTACCATCCGGGCCGCCCGGGTCCCGGGTGGCCAGCCCGTGCAAGGACAAGGGAGGGTCCCAGCAAAAAAAAAAAAAAATCCAAAAAATCCGAAAAAAAACTATGTTATGCAGAAAAATAAACTGAACAACTTTTGCCTCAGGGTCACATCGAAATTATTTACCAAGTTTAAAATATTTTTTATTTAAAAAATATATATATATATTTTTGGCCCGGCCGGGCAAGTGACCCCGGGCCACTCTGGTAGCCTAGATAAATAATGAATAATAATTAATTAATAATCATCAATCAATAAAAGTCAATAATTATCAATAACGAATTTTAAATTGTTGGTAGATTAGGTGTCCGTTAAGATCACCTATGAGATCACCTATGGTCCGGGAGTTCACCGTTGTTAGTGAACTTCCCGGAAGTTGCAGTTCTGGGGTAAACAATTTCGGACAGTCTGCGAACTGAATTTTTTTTTGGGACAATTAGGAGAAAGGAAACACTCGAATTTCGAAAAAACGTGAAATTTTGGGAATTTTAACCTAAAATAGTCCGATTTTCAGAAGGCCGAAGTCCGCATTCGGAAATTCAACAATTAGGGAAAAAATTTTTTTTGAGAAAATTTCAGACCTCAACAATTCAGCTAGGGCGGTTTATGGTTCCAGAAAATGCGAATTTTCCCCATGCGGAAAACCAAAACTATCGCAATCCTAATTCAATACCAAATTAAAATAGAATACCGAATTAAAAATAGAACTTCGCAACTTGAATCTTCGATAGTAATGCAGAACTGATTCGGAAAAAGACAATGCTAATTAAGCAATCGATTCCCTAATCAGAATTACCCTGTGAGCAGATCCGCTTGATTGGTCTGCTCCGATACCAAACTGTTGCATACTAGTGAATACTTCACCAAGTATGGGCAGAATCAAAGATCAACCAATATAGGATGAGCATGTATGCAGCGGAAGTCTGAGAAATGGACTGACTCACATAGACTGAACTCGCCTAAACATCACTCAACACACAAGCAATCGTGGGATGGTGGGGTCTGAAGCCATACATAGACGATGCTTCAGGCCCCATACAACCATACACAGATAAATGGTGGGAGGAGAGATGATGGAGGTGGGAGATATGGACAGCGCCAGATGTCACCGAGATAGAATCCAGAAGGTCACCGATATGGTAGCCCAAAATGTCACCGAACAAAATTAGAATGTCGTGGACATAAGTCACCGATGTCGGAGGTAAAGAATCCTAATGTAACCGATGTCCGATCTGTGAGGCCGCCAGGTATCAATCCCAATTATCTCCAATGTCTCGAATCTGGTAAGTATCACATCCTCCTACCACCGAAGTCCAATCACTGATCTCTGTCCAACTCGTATCAATAGTCTGAAGTCTGGAGAAGAAGAAGAAGAAGAAGTCTGAAGAGGAAGAAGAAGAAGAGGAAGACCGAGAGGGGCAGAGCATTGGCGGACATGGTGAGTGGCCCTAGGCCCTACCTGGTGGTACAAGGTGGCGCCTTGGCTGCTGCAGGAGATGGCTGTGCTGCTGGGAGCTATGGCACTCGTGGCTGCTGTCAGGTAAGTCTCCCTCCTCGCTCTCTCCTTCTCTCTACAGCCAGCGCTACACCTAGCGCTGCGCTGGGACCGAACTAGCGCAGCGGTCGTTCCCTCAGTGCTGTCGTTCTCCGATCCCCGAAATGGCCGTTGGCTGGGCCTAAGTACCGGCCGGTGGCCAGTTCGGACTGTGCCTCCCAAGGTGGCCTCCAAGCTGAACCGTCGGATCTATCGTCCAATCCGTGGTTCAGGTCGAACCGGTTTTCGGGAAAGCAGGCTGCCTAAACGGCGGTCTGGTCCAAACGAAAACGTTTGGCCATTTCCTGCCCAGGGCCTGCAGCTGCAGGGCCTGGTCTAGGACCGGTTGCATAAGGCCAAAGGGGCGGCCTAAAGAGGTCCGGCCTTTGGACCGGCCTGGCCTGGATTATCGCGTCCAGGCCCTCGGAGCCCCTCAGCCTAGTCGTCGGGCCTGAAAGCGCCCATGTGGAATGCAGTATGTAACAGTTTCTCAAG